ATTGGCTTCTTACATTAAGTAAGGCTATGTGTGATACACTCCACCGATCCTCTTTCTATTGGCATCTTACATTAAGTAAGGCTATGTGTGATACACTCCACCGATCCTCTTTCTATTACATCTTACATTAGGTAAGGCTATGTGTGATACACTCCACCGATCCTCTTTCTATTACATCTTACATTAAGTAAGGCTATGTGTGATACACTCCACCGAATCCTCTTTCTATTACATCTTACATTAAGTAAGGCTATGTGTGATACACTCCAATCGATCCTCTTTCTATTACATCTTACATTAAGTAAGGCTATGTGTGATACACTCCACCGATCCTCTTTCTATTGGCTTCTTACATTAAGTAAGGCTATGTGTGATACACTCCACCGATCCTCTTTCTATTACATCTTACATTAAGTAAGGCTATGTGTGATACACTCCACCGATCCTATTTCTATTACATCTTACATTCAGTAAGGCTATGTGTGATACACTCCACCGATCCTCTTTCTATTGGCATCTTACATTAAGTAAGACTATGTGTGATACACTCCACCGATCCTCTTTCTATTACATCTTACATTAAGTAAGGCTACGTGTGATACACTCCACCGATCCTCTTTCTATTACATCTTACATTAAGTAAGGCTATGTGTGATACACTCCACCGATCCTCTTTCTATTACATCTTACATTAAGTAAGGCTATGTGTGATACACTCCACCTATCCTCTTTCTATTACATCTTACATTAAGTAAGGCTATGTGTGATACACTCCACCGATCCTCTTTCTATTGGCATCTTACATTAAGTAAGACTATGTGTGATACACTCCACCGATCCTCTTTCTATTACATCTTACATTAAGTAAGGCTATGTGTGATACACTCCACCGATCCTCTTTCTATTACATCTTACATTAAGTAAGGCTATGTGTGATACACTCCACCTATCCTCATGTCTGAAGCTTCTAACAAAGAGTATGGATTTGTTTAATTTTCTTCACTAATCCTCGTTTATTTACATAAGAAGGTGAAATGTTTTCAAATATAGAACCTTACGGCAATTGTGTCTGAGTTGAAGAGAACAACAAGTCATGAAACATTCAGAAGTATTTCACAACATGAAGCTGAAAGTAGTGGTTATCTCACTCTTGCAATGAAGAGTTCCACCGTTGTAGAAGACTTTTAAATACACCCATAACCCATGAGTGACTGTGTTGTTAGTTTCAGGTTTATGGATATCAAAGTACAAGCTCTAGTTCAATGCCAGGTCAAGACCTTGTACATTAGGGCTAGCTTGGCCACCAAGATGTCACAACATTCTATGCCAGTTGTAATTAATCAATATTTGTGGCCACTAAAATTGCAATAAAATCATTCAGATTATTTTAACTGGGCAAAAACCAGGTTAACCTTTAGCTACAGGGTTGAGGGATTTAGTGCCAGAATCCTATCGTTGATGTTGATGTCAGGAAGAGAATTCACCAACACGATTGGTCATAATGCAACCGAGCAATTTTATTACTGAATTTATTGCTATTACAATTTTTTTACAGCCATGGTTCAATAGTGACCCAAAATTTTATTTTGCCAGTATTGACTTTTAATTTAAAGTTCGATTGGATGGATTTGAAGATCATAAGAAACTAAAACTTTCGGGCATACTTTTTCTATTTTTCATTAGAGTTCTTGTGAATCTATCTGAAGCACCACAAATGTCTCTGCAAGTTATTTCATGACAAAAGCAAGTGTTCAGCAAAATATATACAAATGCTCTCATTTCTATTACCATAAAATGGACGTTGCTTGAAAAGCATGGCTATCTGGAAATTAAATAAAATTTAAATATCTAAAATTTAAATTAAATTAAATACTAAAAATACTATATCACATATTGTAAGTGAGTTTAGTTTCATGCTGCTTTTAGCAATATTCCAGCAATATCAAGAGGGGGGACACCAGAAATGGGTTTTACACATTGTACCCATGTGTCGAATCAAACCCGAGTGAACGCTTACTCACTAGGGTACCCCACCACCCCCTATCACATATGGCGAGTTACCTGGAACTACATAACTCATTTAGTAAGTAGTATTACCAAAAGCATGGTCTGGCAAATGTGGTTAATGGTGTGATGGGTGCATCAACCAGTAGGCTACCCATATGTACACAGATATATTTTAGTTGAAACACCACTGGTTCATTGGTCAAAGCATTATGTCCATTACAGAAAGTTCTTACGTTCAATATCCAATAACTCATGTTGAAGGCATTGAGTGGACCATTGTTCAGACTGTTCAAGAACTCATGTTGAAGGCTTTGTATAGACCATTGTTCAGACATTTCCTGATCTCATGTTTAAGGCATTGTGTGTTTTAGGAGTTCATGTTTTGGGGGTATGGCACAGATCCTTGCTTTGCTTTCACCATTTCCTTTGCTACCCACTGAGCCAGATGTGAAAAACAAGAGGAACTGGAGACATGGTCTCCCTCTGTGAAATCAGAGGTCAAAACACTGGGAGAGGTAGGGACAAGAGACAAGATAATTCTCCAAGTAAACAACCCACCCACATTCTGACATTAAATCCTTCGCAGGAATCTTCAATTGATAACAAAAACCATTACCAAAAACCTGATTTATTTTTCTTCTTAACAGGTTTTTCATTCCTCTTATCTTCTGTGTGTAAACAGTTTTATTAACTCTCCTGCACACTTTACATAGCCTCAATGATGTTTCCCCATGGCGACACTGGCTTACATAAACCGATTTGTATCCTTCATCTATGTTATCCGTAATATAGCAACAGTATAGAAAACTGCCCCTGTATTTTATGTTGCCATTCCTGAATGAACCAGATCAATTGTGAATGCATGGAAAACCATACAATCGTGGGATGATTTTTGGTCAAATTTAAATTTGTACTTTATGCAAGAATATCAAACAGACTGTCCAATATAAAAAAAGTGTAAATCTTTACACAGTATGCAGGACTGTATCAAACAAACTGTCCAATAAAGATATTGATTGTTTATTACCTCTTGAGGGTAATAAGAGACTTGTCAAAAAATAGATCAATTTGCTGCACAAACCGAATGTGAGGCGTAAGTAATTATTGGTAATACTGGTGTAAAGTAAATGGGTGATTATTCACATGGTGCTAATAAATCAGAGGACAAGTCATGAGTCATTGCATCAAATGAGTAACAGACAAACAGCGCCCCCAGCCCCATGCAATATTATGTGATAACGCCTTCCGAACATTATAAGCAATATCGTTCCACTTTCATTTTGGAACAGAACTTGTAGAGACCAAAAAACTCTCAGATTATCAGTCCTGCAGATAAAATATTGAGAGAGTCACATATCGGCTTCAAGGAGCAGACTGACTCATGTTATTATCCCACTGTCAGAAAATGACATTCTTCCTATGGGTAGACATTGTGTCAAGATTTTCATCCAATCATTGGAACATTTGTATAGGGCTGGAGTTATGATTGAGTTAGTGACAAATGGGAATCTATGACCCTGTTTGAGTTTCTACAGGCTTTGATCAGGATAACATATAAGGCATATTGGCAATTGCCAAGCAAAGAATATCGGCTGGAAGTTTGCAACTGGAACTTTCAAAGATGGATTTTGACATCACAATGATTAAATCTGGAAGAGCCATGAACTGTTTTACTTGGTGCTCACTCTGTGAACAAATTGAACATGCTGGCAAAACTCAAAGAGATGATCTGTTTAACTTGATATAATTGAAACCATAGAAATACAGAAAGGAGAGGGAATGTTATTTGTCTCTTCAAGGTAGTTACCTTTTGATAGTGTAGCAAATGTAACATTGGGGTCCCTTGGGAGACACATGAAAAGTGTGAGTGAGTGAGTGAGTGAGTGAGTTTGGTTTTACGCCGCTTTTAGCAATATTCCAGCAATATCACGGCGGGGGACACCACAAATGGGCTTCAGACATTGTACCCATGTGGGGAATCGAACTCGGGTCATCGGCGTGACGAGCGGACGCTTTAACCACTAGGCTACCCCACCGCCCCCACATGAAAAGAATCCAGGACAGATTGTGGGCAACCTATTCCACATCTCATGAGATGTCATGAGATGGTAAAACAAGGTATTATCCAGTTTCTCCAGGGAAGTTTTGTGTCATGTTAACAGTGTCATTAGCACCATGTGGATGCACTGAAGTGCTGACAGTCAAACCAAACAGTTCCAGTTCTTAACTCAGAAGTTTTATGTCTGACTTATCATGCCTGCTGATCCGTAAAGATCCGGGTCAGAATTGGTCTTCAGTGTAAACAAATGCTTGTCGCAAGAGGCGAATAACGGGATTGGGTGGTCAGGCTTGAGGAATGTTTGACACATGTGATTGTATCCCAAATGCATAGATTGATGCTGATGCTGTTGATCACTGGACTGTCTGGTCCAAACTCGATTGATTACAGCCTGTCGCCATATAGCTGGAATATTGCTGAGTGTGTTGTTTAACAACAAACAAACTGTTACAGGGTTTTACATGACGCATGATTCCTGCGTAATTGACGCAACAATTTTGTTAACGACTCTCAAAATACTATCATACGAGTCAGGCTTGACGCAAGTTTTATAGGTTGCCCTCGCGATTCAGTTCAATAAAATAGATTTGATAAGCAAACAATGATATTGTTTGATGATAGTTTGACTTTTACAGAGCTGTCAGATTGTTCCAGAGAACTCAGTGCGGACAGTAATCCTGGCTGTTTGAATTTAACAATTCTGTAGTTTCATTTGGTGGTGTGACATACACAGTTACATACCGAGAATGATAAACACAAAGAAATATTAAATTTTCATGACTCCCAAATATTGAAAATGACTCCCAAAAATAAATATTGTGAATCACTATGACTCCCATTTTGAAAAGTCAGTGTAGAACCCTGAACTGTTATGCATGCTAAAGTCACATCACAAGTCTAGACATGAATAATTTTCAACAAATCATGAACTTACCAGCACTCAGCGTTTTGGCCACAGAAAAATGGAATTTGTAGCCAGAGATTTCCAGGATCACAGTCTTCCCCATTCCGATTGACACATTCGTCGAATGTCTGAAAGTGGAATGTCACAATTATTATGAATCATAGAAATGCAATGACATAGAATACAACTTTATAATGACACACACCTTGCCTCTAACTCATGACCATGACAAACACCAAAGAGTATCAACATCATGACAAATGTTCCTAACTGGGAAAAAAAAAATTGTATTATCAAATCTTTTGTCAGGTTATAAGAATATATACATATCATGTCAGTGCTTTCATACATACTCGCAAATATAATGTACCATGTATAAATTCAGCATGTTTATTATTGTTTGAATGTATTTTTTCGAATATCGTGCAGATTGTAGTAATCATAATTTTATTTTATTTTACTTTTCATATTCAATCTGGCATAATGCAAAAACTATTTATGTGAAGTGCAGCTGAAAAACGGACATGACATTGGAAGAATTTTGTGTTGTAACCTATCGTCCGTTCTCCAATGTCATTATGTAATTGATGGTTTGAGCAACAGTAAATGCTGCTGGGTATGATGATAGGCAAGAAATCAACTCTCTGACCACCTGATTCATATCGTCCCTTCTTATTACAAGCCCTACTGGGGACTCTCCAGTCTACAATCCCTGGTGGTCTTATGTGAGACACAGGAGGTACAAACAGTAATGCCACTTTGCATCAACATTAAACATCACCACTGTTGTCAGCTTTATGTTAATGTGTCTTTGTTTGCACTAAACACTAAAACCAAGAATACCCTAAACGAGAAAAGCGGCAGTGGGGTAGCCGAGTGGTTAAAGCGTTCGCTCATCATACCGAGAAACTGGGTTTGATTCCCCACATGGGTACAATTCGTGAAGCCCATTTCTGGTGTCCACCCACCATGATATTGCTCGAATATTGCTAACAGTGGCATAAAAATAAATTCACTCACTAAATGAAAAAATTCATCACACAATAGATACCGAATCCTCTACAATCTCTCGACACAGGTCCCAAAGAAATTCCCACCTTCCATTTGAAACATTCTCTGTCAATTAACCAAACAGCAATTCTCACCCTCCCCTAAAGAAATGTTTAAGTTGATATCCTCTCTTACATTATCTTGATGTCACAATTCATAACCCTTGTCTCTATTACACACTGTCTCGTCAGTGATCATCATTGCCAAGCAAATCACCCATTGGTGTTTTGCAGGGGGGCCTTCTTGGCCCTATCGGATTAATGTTTCCCTTCCAAATATTCATGACCCATTGTATGGGTGATTATAACCTCTCATTGTCTTCTTTGTAATCGTTTGAGAGTGTTACATGTGATCAATCATCAGAAGAGGTCCCAGATGTTTTCTGATGTGCTTGATGAAGCAGGTTCGAGAAATACTGTATCAATTTCAAAAGTCATTTAAACTTGTGACATAAGAGATCAAGTTTCCCCCACAACAGAAACATCTTTGAACTCTTTTGACGAACAAAGATCATTGTGCAAGCAGCCAGATATTTGATGGAACTTCAAATGAAACAGAATTACGCTGATGTGTTACTCAACAGCATAATGATCTCTCCTTAATACATGTATATGAATCAGGGTTAAGATATCATGACAAAAACACTATGTATTCAAAACAGATAACCAAACTGATTGTGAATGGGTTTCATAATATTTTGGTGAGTGAGTGAGTGAGTGAGTGAGTATTATAACATAGGAAATATGTCAACAGCCTACAAAGTGTAAAGCTCAATGATTAAGATGGGCATCAGCTTGAGCTTTTGAATATAATTTGTATTACAGAACAGTATGACTGCAGGATATAGGAGGTCAATCCAAAGTGACACAAAGACTGCCATGGTATGGTGCTGCTACACCAAAGGCTGATGAAACTAATAATGTGTATTTGTATTTTCCTGATCTCTGCATTTCATTATATCCTTTTCTGCATGATAATATACATTTGTTGTGGATGAATAATTAGTAAATAAAATTTGTATACGTGTGACTCCATGTTACTGATATCATATATACTTCAAAACAACTTATTCTGTCACAGAATTTAATTCGTTCTTTCTAAAAAATAGGAAGCTGACATTGTATTTCTTTCATTCAGTGTTACCATTTGTTGTGATCTCTGTACTCTAGTGAGTGAGTGAGTGAGCTTAGTTTTATGCCACTTTTAGCAATATTCCAGCAACATCACAACAGGGGACATCAGATATGGGTTTCACACATTGTACCCATGTGATGAAACGATCCCTGTTCTTCGGCTTGACAAGTGAACGCATTAACCACAAGGCTACCCTACCATTCCTCTACAAATATATGTCAATCCTTCAACACAAATGAATACTTAAATACTGAAGAGATGATCTTACATCAGGTTATCTTTAAGTGAGTGAGTGAGTTGAGTTTTACGCCGCACTCAGCATTATTCCAGCTATATGGCGGCGGTCTGTAAAGGTTACCTTTAAGACAATGCATAGGAAACATTAACAATGAAGGTAAAACCTCTTCAATAATCTGGATCATAAAATTACCATGAGAATGGCACCCAGAGTCTTCTCATCTTCAGGAAATGTGTTATCAAATATCTTACACTTGGAACTTATAATACTGCCTATGGCACCATTGTATTACTGAACATTAGATGACCATTGTTATTATTATCTGCTTGACTTTGCAACCTTTCCAACACAACTGGTTTAAAATTACCAGCTGCAATATTTCATCAATCTAAAACCTAGAGCTACTTACAAGAACTCAGCTTTAACTAAGGTAAAAGTACAGGCAGTAATGATGCTTGAAGCTTAGTTAGAGGTTGAGACATTTTACAAATCATACAAAACAAGAAGGAAAAAAATAAAATTAATTTGCTCAATGCATCATTGCTGATATCTTTTTTGAAGTGTAATTCCACCTGAAGTATAATCAAACTTGTTCATATACAAATTTTAATTCTAATGCCCATATTATTTCTAAATGGTTTTACATTTCAAGATTCTTGAAGAAATAGGCTATTTAAGAACACTGTATGATACAACATTGCTATTTCGCATGTTGAAATCAATTTAGATTTTTTTGCCTGCATATTGTGAGGAAGATTTAGTGCCTGACAAATAGCTAGGATAAAGAGGGATCTTAAAGTGGGGAGAAATCCAGACAAAAATTGAAGAAGAACTCAAAATCAATTTTCCATTTTAATGTCATTTTTTTTTCAAACAGAAAATATTTCAATTGTGCAGTACGCAGGAGGAGGGGGGAAAGGACTGTTTGGATCCTGAAAGAAAACAATTATTTTTTTGCTATATTTTCCGGAAAAGTGAGATACAAGTCATTTGATTCAGTGAACAATAATATGATACATTGAAAACGTCAATCTGTCAAATTGTGATTGGTTAATGGCATGTAATTCACCCAGTGCAGTTATGACTTGACTGCTACCTACCTAACTTACACAACAGACTTACTATCTGGCACCAAAACAAAGTAATATGTCATTCCTCAAGGTTGACAAAGAACAAAAAATTTACCAAGACCATGGCTCCATATGAGATCAACATTGTGATACACAAGTAGATGTATCCTGAGATTAAAAAGGCAATGTACAAAGTCAGCCGCCTAAACAACTCAACCACCGCTGCTTCCACAAAATGGAAGTCACAATTGCAACAACTGGTAGTCTAGACCACAGACTTTGTGGCACATCATCAGAGGAGTACACAAAGTCCATGGTCTAGACTACCTGTTGTCTGACTTCAAATTTTGTGGATGTCACGGTGGCTGAGCAGGTTAGGCGGCTGACTTTTTGTGCTGGTGATTAGGTGCCTGACTCTGAGGGTGTGGGTTCGAATCCCGGATAGGACTCAACCCAACAAAAGTACTAGACTCTGTACTTTACTAAGATAGTGTGATCCCAAATATAATATTTGTTACATTAGACCACTTTCTAAATGGCACTGTGTATATCATGAACTGAATAAGACAATGGCTTAATGCCTCCAACTTCCCCATCAGAAATATGCATCATGAACAAGTTTGACATTACCACATCATATGACAGAAGACCCCACACATGTCTAATGCAGCACAATTATGCAAGAGAAAAGCCTATGGTTCCGCTAAGTAAGAAGCTCTTCCAGTTTAATAACATCCCTTTGGTTTGAAGAAACACATGGCCAAGTCAATATGATTAAGTATTTTCACTTTGGTTTTCAAAAATATATGCTAATGCAAGACCACTTTGAAAAAGATGCCCCTATGGTTCTAGCCAAGTCTGATGCTCTTCCAATTTAATAGCATCACTTCTGGTTTTGGAAAACACATGGCCGATTCAGTAATATGTGTATGCTGTGCCATCACTGTGCTACAAGCTACCTCATTACATTTGTATGCAACATCATGATTTGTTGCATATTATGGATGTGGCCAACATTACAAAGTCCTACATTTATTAGGAAACTATTCTGAACCTACACCGAAACACTCATTGCAATAAAGAAGTTAACTATCCAACAGTGTTCACGAATCATGTTTGAAAGGAACAGGACATTGGGTCCTGTAAGTTTCAGATGTCTGTCTGACCCATTGAAAATTCACAGGACCCATAGAATAAAATTAAACACACATTTCAGATTTAGCATTTCTTATAATTGGCACCAAAATTATACACAAACATAAGATTTATAAACAGCAAACAGGTGTCACATGTCCCATATAACAACTTCAGTCAAAGTCATTGTGAAATATACAGTCAGACACTGGGGTCGGCGGGTTGTAGACTTCTATCGGACCGTTGGCAAATCTGCCGTATTTGTCAGAGGGTCAGACGCTATTCGTGAACACTGTCCATAGAACTTTGTTTTTCTCAATCCTTATCATCACTTGCTTGAAAAGTCGCACTCATTGCAACAAAGAAATTGACTATCCATAGAACTTTGGTTTTCTTTCAACTATTTTAAAGTCAATTCAGGCATCACTGGGCTTCAAAGTGACTAAATTCGCGGCTAAACTTCTAAACTGGAATTCGTGACTAAAAAGTGACTAAACTTACA